TGCCCCTGCTATGAAAGGTCCCACACGCACAGAATTTTCCACAGAATGTCACGAGTCCCTGGGTTCTCGTTTGAGAGAGAAAGGGGCATCTTATGCGCACAGCACGCCCCAGCTCTCATGCCTCTTCTGTGGAGAAATGATGCAGCAGTGAGCAACCACAAGCAGGGTAGACGACGACAGAGATTTCTCTGAGATGAGACTTAATTCAGTCACCAAGAGGCCCGGAGGGGCTCTTACTCACCCAAGAGCATCCAGCCATTAGGGAGACTGGGAGAAGAAAAAGCCACCAGGCCAAGAACTCTCTGGCTCTCACCTAGAATCTCAGTGTAAGAGAAAAAAGCAGGAGAAAAGTAGTTTGGGCAGGAGCCATCTCAAGGCTGGGCAGTTTTTCTTGGGGAAAGGGGAAGGACAATGGCCAGACACAACACACTTCACTCATCTAAACTTCTTGCTGTGTAACCGTTGAGTCCTCACAGAGCCTGTGTGCTTCTGCCCCATAGTTTAATTATTTATGTGCTTTTGTCCTTCAGTTTAACCATTCATTCCTGGTCAGTCCCCTGCATCAGTGCAGTTACTACAAGAATAAATTCTTGAAATGGAATTCACCTTTATAGCCTCAAGTCACAGATCAATTCCTGACGGTTGACAGCGGGTGATGGACAGAGGCTGCAGTGGCCCCTGCATGCAGCCTGGGGTCCCCTGCTGGCTGCAGGTGGCCACCCTGGGGGTTTCTCCACAGAACCAAACGATCCTCCTGTTGATGGAGGCACTCCTTAGATTCACACGGGGTCTCCCTTCCCAAGGCCTTGACTTGCCGGTTATATGGATATTTAAGACACGCAGGGCTATGGGGCCCCCAAACCCCTTCTGTGTTACTTTCCTAGAGCTGTCATGACAAACCGCTACAAACTTGGTGGTTTAAACAACAGAACTTTATTTTCCCACAGTTCTGGAGACCAGAAGTCTCAGGTTGAGGGGTATAAGGCTGAGTCCCTCTGGAGGCTCCCAGAGAGTGCCCATCGAGGGCTCTCCAAATTCAAGCTGCATCTGTCCCAGTCATCAGATAACTGTCTTCTCCATGTGTCTCCAGTCAGCTGGGGGTTCTTTTGTTCAATTCAGATAGAAATCACGAACGGGCAAAGTGCAGCTCCCTAATGTTAGCGGCTCCGAGCTTTGGGTTCCAGTGGCTGGCAGCCCTTAGTGTCACACCTGTAACCTTTGAGTGCTAGTACCCCTTAGCTCTTAGTGTCACAGCTCTTGATGGCTCCTGGCCTCAGCAACCCAGGCTCATAGCCCCTGGCATCTTCCTGGAGCCCTTCCAGCAGCTTCTGCTGCTCTCTGGGGCTCTTCCCCACTCATGCAGTGGAGGGCTCTGCTGGTCTGGGCTCCTTGCTCTGCCACTCCCTGGAGCTCTTCAGGGAAGTGAGCTCTTAGTGTCAGCAGCTCTTTTTAGTGTAACTTGCTCATCCCACTCTACCCAGCAGAAAAATCATAAGCAGGCCAGAGGACTGAGCCAAGTGAATCTCTACAAGAAACTGCACTGCAGTACAAGGGGCTAACGGAAAAGGAGGGAGCCTTGCAGGACTGACCAAGGGAGAGTATGGAGGAGAGTAGGCTCCCAGTTTCCTGTGTTTTATGGAACTACTTGGGGACTTTTAAGCAGTGACAAACAGGGGAAACGGACATCTGGAATTGCAGGGTGGGGTCATCTGGGATAGGTCTGTGTTTCAAGGCCACCTCAGCCAAAGCAAACATCTGTGTTCATCATGACCTACTAAGGGCTCGGAGATTTCGGGGACAGCAGCAATGGCCCCCAGTCCTCCCCACTTTGCCCTGTTGAGCACCAGTTTCCAGCCACTCCTTAGAGGCAGCAATGGTGGCCCAGCGTGACAGGGGAACCACAGCTGCCTGGCAAGCCTGGAGCTCCTGCCAGCCCAGCCTAGAGAACAGCTGCCAAAGCAACTTTAGAGGTGGTATGAAGATACTGGTGACCCCATGCCACCCTCAGGGAGGCAAGTGAGGTAAGGAGTCACAGCTGTCTGTGAAACCACACCTCCTCTAGCTGGCCACGGGCATAGAGAAGAGTCAGCTCTCATTTTCCTCTATCTCCTAAGAACATTCCTTGGGTTGAGGGACCACCCTAACACAGCGAGATCCAACTTGATCCCTCCTTTAATGACATCCACAAAAACCTTATTTCCCAAATAAAGTTGCTGTTATGTTTGTATCTAAAATGTCTTCCAAAACCTCAGCACCCCCTGGTGGGGCTTTTGGGAGGTGGTTGGATCGGGGGTGTGTGAGAACTGTATTAGTACAATGATGAGTTGAGCCCTGTTCTGTGTGTGGACAATGGGAAGGCCCAATCTGGCCACGGGTGGCACCAACCAATGGGCTCATAGTCTGAATGGAATAAAAAGGGAAGGGAAGGCTCACTGCTCCCTGCTTCTTGCTGCCCCGCCATGACTGTTTCTCTCCACTGCTGTGCTCCTTTCCCAGGCTGCTCTGCCTTGGAGCCAGCCAATGATGGACTAAAACCTCTATAAACTGTGAGCTAAACTAAACCTTTCCTCTTTTATCTTGTGGGTGTTGGGTATTTTGTCCTAGCAATGAGAAAATAACTAAGACAGTCACAATCTGGGGTTCTGGGTGGACACATTTTAGGGGGACATTAATCAACCCCTGCAGATGGGGGGCAGAGTGACCATTCCTCAGTCATTCATCCTCCAACTTGCAGGCAGCTTCCAAAGCTCCCGTAACAGTCTCAGCAAGGCCGGGGAATCGCAGGATCACAACCAGCTGGTCCAGGTGGGCACCTGGGCATGGAGAGGGAACTCTGGGCTCACAAGGGCTCCTGAAGACCAGTTCAAATGTGGTCACCAGCAGAGGGCTGGTGATTTCAACTGCAGGTGGGGCACCCTGGGCAGGAAGGGTGCTCACATTCTGCATCTGCCCAGCCACCTAGAGGACCACACAGTCCTCACTGGGAAGGGAAGCACTGTTAGGGACACGTAATGACTGTTTTCCCAGCCTCTTGTACCCTAGAATAACAATTTTTTAAAAAGTGTCTTAATTTACTTCTAAATGGAGACAAACAGCATTAAATCACATCAGATGCGAGAAAGCAAAGCAGCTTCTCCAGCTTTCATTTGACTCCATTTAACTAAACACAGTTTTCAGCAGGGCCGGAGAAGGGTGGGAATAAAATACTACACCAGAAACGCCCTTGATGGGGAAGATAAGGCTCCTTTGAAAGATGGCCTGCTTTGTGCGAGAAGAAAGCTGCGAGGCTCCCAGCCTTATCTGGCTCCCGGCAGAGGGAGGCAAGGGAGAGGAGGTGGTTCCTGCAGGCGCTTTCTCATGTAAATCACCTGAGCGAATTACCGAACTAGTCCACTCTGAGCGTCCTCTGAGAACCTTCAGGGTGCACCAGGAAGGGGCTGGAAAATCCTTCGCAGGCCGGAGCACAGGGCAGCCTTCGGCTGGGATCCTGCACCCAGAAGAGCCTCCACCTGATGCCTCTCCACGTGCAAAGGCAAAAGGACACCCAGCGTCACTCCCAGCCCCCGCCCCAGCCCAAGAGGGGAGCGCACAGTGCCCAGAGCCAGGTCCTGCCCCGTGAGGATGCCATGGCACCGAGTGGACGGGTGGCGAGCTCAGGCCTAGGAAGGAACTGAGGGCTGCAGTCAGGACCAGGGGAGACTCTGGAGCCTCCAGCCCTGGTACCTGTCCTCCCACCCTAAAGCCTGGCGCCCACTCTGGTTGCAGCCTTGGCCCCTGGGCTCGTCTGCTTTCCCTTTCCCTGCCCCGCCCTCCATCAGCGGCCGGAGAGAACCCTGAGTGCTTTCTAACACAGACGCCCGGTTTCTTCACATCCTAACCTCCCTGCTCCTCCGTTAGCCTCCAGTGCGACCCACTGGTCACTGCCTGGGGCCCCCTGGAAGGCCAGTACTGGGGGCACAGACCATGCTCAGGAGGAGCCCCGCCCTCCAGGCCTGGCCAGGTGTGGGGTGTGGCAGGAGCACGGCCCCAGCAAAGGTGCTTGGGCCAAGCCACTGCTCCCTGTGGGCCCAGGGACCCCCTCGTCAGCTCAAGGACACCCTTGCGTCCTCCCACCTGCAGGGAGCTCGCTGCCCCCAGCCTGCCCTGGAGCAGCACGGCCACCTGCTCCCCAAGCCTGGGACACTGTCCCCCTTGGGTGCCGTGGCTCCCTGCCCCTCACCAGGACAGTAACAGTGTTCCCACACGGGCACCACCATGCCACGCAGTCCTGCAGGCAAGTCCAAGGGGCAGCGTGAGTGGCACTTCACCAAGGCACACAAGAGAGTGTGTCACAGGCGCCAGGCACAGTCACTAAGAGCCTGAGACCCTGAAGGGCCCACATCCCAGCCTCAGCCTCGCAGACAGCAGTGGGGGCTCCTGGGCCCGGTGTCCACCACTCCATCTGGCCATAAGCCCCACAGGACCGACTAGCCCCAGCTGGGCTCCAAAAGGGGAGGAGGTGCCAGTGAATTCCCGCTCCCTCTCCCAGCAGGCTGGGCAGCACCTGAGGAAGCATCTCTAGTGAGATTTGAAAAAGAGGCTGGCCTCCAACCTGCAAGATCTGACTGACACGCATGCGCAGCCTCTCCCTGTGATGCAAGGGACAGACAGCCAGTGTCCTGTTCAGGGTGCTGCCCTGCAGTGGTGAGACCAACTGACACCTGACTGTCTCCCAAGAGAGGAGTGTGGGTCCCTGTGCATATCCACGGGGACGTGAGCTCTCCAAGCGGCCAGTGCCTGGCACGCTGGCCACACCCACCCACCCCTGGGGCCTCTGCCCCCCGCCCACCGGCCCTGTGTCGTCCCGCCTGGGCTCTCAGCTCCTCCTCCTCCGCGTCGGGGAGGCCTGGCTTCCTGACCCAGGGGCAGCAGGAGACACTCACAAGCACTATCAGAGCAGCGTGGCAAGCGCACGTTTCACTCAGTTCCTTATTAAAAACAAATGCAAAGTGACACTGCTGTCAAACACTGTAGCAAATAATTTATTCTGTCGTACAAAATCCAGTAAGAAAAATATAATTTTATCACTTAGGATGATTTATAAAATACACTTTGCTAAAAGCAAATCAAAACAAACTTATAGACGGTGATGACCTCCATGCGCTACAGAAGGACGAAGTGGTTCTCATGCATGCCAAGGGCAGGGGCTGGGCCACCACCGCCACTGCCCCTGCCGCCGCCCCTGCCAGGGCTCATGCCCAAGCCAGGGAACGTGGCCCTGTGGATGTGGTCAGTATGAGCAGCAGCTCAGCTGGACGTGGACATCACACAAACAACCACAGCACACTTCTCCCATCAGCCAGGTTCGGGCCCAGGTCACTGGTAGGTGACCTTCACGCAGAAGGTCTCTTCGTTCTTGTCTTCGTGGTCGTTGATGTAGATCAGGATCTCCTCCTGGCCTGGCCTCCCTCCCGGTGCAAACCGCAGACCAATGGTGTAGGTCTCGCCACCCCCCACCTGGAAGAAACATGGAGTCCACTGTCGCGCCCACCTGCAGCGCCCACTGCTCCTCGTCTGTCACGCCCAGACACGTGACGCAGGGTACACACGCTCCCAACAGTGACCGTCAGCCTTCACAGTGTCCAGGGCCGCCTGAGATCCAGTGCCCAGAGGCCAGACCAGGCCCCACAGAGGCGGCTCCTGTCCAGAGCTCAGTGTCCAGCACAGAGGGGCACCCAAGGCCCTCGGAGAAGCTGCACCAACCTCGGAGCTGACACTCGCAGGCCTTGCCTGAGCCTTGCCCACTCCGACAGGAGACACAGAGGCTCTCAGACAATGCGGCTTTAGCACTCAGAGCCCTTGGCAGAGCCCACCCCACACCTGCCCCGGGCCACCAGGTCACACCTGGAAGGTGTCCTCCCTGAACTGCAGCAGGTCTGGGCGGTCACTGTGCAGGCGGTAGGCCCTCCGGGTCGGGTAGGGGTTGGTGTAGGTGATCCGCTTGTTAGCACCCTTCCCTTCCCCCACCGCCATGGTGATCTCGAAGGCCTGGGGACAAGAGCAGGAGAGCTGCGGCCAGGCTTGCTGTTGCTGTCACTGGGCCTCCTCCACTCCTGTGCAGCCAGCCCGGCACCACGCTGGGGACCTCGGTCTGTCGTGAGAGACAGAGCACCCCTCAGGGCTGCCTCCCACCCCGGTCACGCACAGAGCCCTAGCAGGACAGCGCGGGTCTCAGAGCCGGGTGACAGCCGGTGATCCCAGCAACACCCCTCTGTGCCCTTGACCTGCATGTGTGCCTTACAGACCTTAGAAATGAGCGGCTGGCGGCAGGAGAGGCACAGGAGCCAGGAGGCCACCAGCTGGTGGAAGTCCACGTCAACCAGGTTGAGGTGCACGAAGCGGCTGCCGGCCCTGTGGGGCCGCACCCCCACATGGAGGTCCTGCACCCCGTGAGGGGGCAGCAGGAAGTCACCTGCAGGATCTGTCTTCAAGGGCAAGACAGTGGTCAGCACACAGCCCCCTCTCGACAGCAGCCTCCCTGCACCGGAGCCCTGCTCCCCGCAGAACCCGCAGGTCGGACTTCTCGGCCTGCCAGGGCCCAGACCTGCGGCCTCCACCTCCCTCGCCTACCACGTCCTTGTTCCCATGTCTCAAGTCTCTGTGCGCAAGTCCCTCTGAAGGTGCCCTAAGAGTGGTCACCAGAACACACCGGGCCAGTGCGTCCCCACCCTGCCTCGCCAGCCAGCCACGGGACCCATGCCCTGAGGTCGTACCTTCAGCTCCTGGGGGTGGGAGGAGAAGGCCTTCACTTTCCTAACAGTCTTCGTCCCCCGGAGCACAAGGGACAGGTGTGTCACCTGGCCCGCGATGCAGGAGACGTCCACGCGCTGCAGGGAGTGGAGGCAGACCCGCCACGTCTGCACGGGCGCCGCCAGCCAGCGATCCCTGTGCAGGGAGGGACTGAGCATCCACCCGTCCCCAGCCACAGCGCTGCCCCAGGCGCCCGGCTTTACTGTAAGATGCCGCCGAGGACACATCTTCCGGTAAGGTCGCACAAATCCCCCGGGGGCTCCCGGCTAAGGGGAGAGCCAGGTGCTGCTCGGCTCTGGCTGGACACAAGCCGCCTTGACCCTTCCCTCGGAAGGTGCACCGCGGATCCCAAGTCCCCCTGGCCACTCCTGCCACCCTGGAGCTGGGGACCCGCTCTCCAGGCCTGGTGACCCCAGACTTCCTTGGGGAGCCACAGGCTCAGGCTCCCGGGGGAAGGCGCGGTCACCTGCCCTGGTCTGGGGCAGAAGGGACAGGACAGACTCCTCCACCTGCCCGCCCCCTCTCCCCTTGCATCCACCCACTCGGCTGAGCTCCATACTCACGCATAAACGATGACAAAGAAGTCTTTGATCTCTGGGCTGGGCCCGCTGGCCACCTTCAGAAACACGTCCCGGGGCTCCCCAGGGCCCTGCACACAGGCATGGACTGTGTGGGAGCCAGTGAGCCACCTCTGGGGGGCGGGCAAGGGCCCTAACTAAAGCCCGGGCTGGTGTGAGCCCCACCCGCACCAGTGTGCTCGCGTCCGCACTAGCCGCGTGCACTGTTTTGTTCATTGGGAGAGAAAATCATTGGCTTCTTGATTTTACATTGATTTCAATAATTATGTTCTACAGAGTCTATCTGGCTTCCTAACCAGTCATGATACAATTATTGCTGTTATCCTTATCACAACGGTAATTAATAAGTGCCTTAATTGCCGTTTGCTTCCTGCCTTTTAACATCTCCGTGCAGGGAGCTGATCCACTGGCAGAGAAAATAAGACACTCCCGGAGCGCCCATCGCAATGTCCACCGCCCTCGGCACGGAAGGAAGTCACGTCGCCCGTGCCAGGACAGCACCGCAGGGAGGACGGGAGGGGTCCACCGGGAGGACCTGCCCCACGGGCCAACAGGACGTACCACATTCTGGGCCTCACAGATGACATTCGGGTCGCTGCACCGCACGTGCACTGGTGGCTCCTCCCCGGGTCTTCCCACAGGAGCACCTGGAACAGGGAGCGGGACCGTGCCACCCCCGGACCCCAGCGTGGCACACACGCGGTGCGGCCGCAGGGACGGGGGCAAGGCTGCGCCTGACCCGGCACCCAGAGGGGTAAGGACGAGGTAAACGGAAGCAGCATCCGTGCACAGACGCGGCCTCGCTCCAGGGCAGAGCTGTAAAATGTGGGGCCTCCTGGGGAAGCGGCCCCCCTGCACAGGCCTCGCATCCGGTGTGACTTCAGGAGACAGACTCAGCCACCCAGGTGCGCCCTGCCGCCACCCCAGAGGCGCCCAGCGGCGTCTGCGTGGAGCTACAAAGGCAGTGGCAGGAGTCACCGCCCCCCGCGTGGTGACGCCTCTCCTCTGTGGGCAGAAAGGCCCCTGTCCCACTGGGCTGAGCCCCACAGCGCTGGCCGCGGGGAGGACGGAACCTGCCTGGAAGCGTGTGCCAGGGGGGCAGGCGGATGGCCTTCTTCAGGAAGGTGAGCTCCGGGTGGTAGAAGCGGAAGACCTGGTCCACCACGTGGGGCTGGGGCTCCACCGTCAGGCAGAGCACGGCCAGGGGCCTGCCGCCAGCCACGCCGAACAGGACCTGCAAGGCAGGGCAGCCCCGGCGTCAGGACAGCACACGGGCTGTGGGGCTTCTCCCCCTCTGTGCTGTCTAAGCTGACGGGGAAAACGTTCCTCCCAAAGTGCTGGGGACAGGAAGGACAGCCAGGGCTCCCCGAGCGAGCATCAAGAGGGAAGCTCCAGCCTCTGGTTTAGTCCACAGCGTGAGATAAGGAGCAGGCAGCTCGCTGCGCAAAGCCAAAGCTGAGTTCCACACACGAGTGAAATGACGCAAGGCCCTCTGGTGGGGGGCCAGGGCGCAGGGCCACCCTGTGTCTGGACCCCACTGAGCTGTCTTCGGGACACGGTATGGCCTGTCGGGTGGGAGGAGGACACTGCAAGGCCCTGAGCTCGGCCAGGATCCCCGCTCTAGACAGCAGAGACAGTGGGCAGGGGCAGGACAAACTAAAGAACTGCTCCTTGGAGTCACCCCAGAGGACGCCTGCTCACAGCACAGTCCGGGCCAATGGGGACGGCCCCTCCCCTCTGCCCCTTCACCTTGGCATGTTTAGTGGGCATGGCACTAGACTTCCAGGGTGCTCCGGCATCCCTGTCCTCCACACTCGGCTCAGTGGAGGCCTGCAAGACACCAGTCAGCACAGTTGTCACAAGGCGGCGGCGGTGATGACCACCCCTGGACACGCAAGGCCAGGAGCTCCTGAGCGTCACACATGTCCTCTCACACACCAGCTCACTGGGCATCTGTCTCTGTGCCCAGCGTCTCTCATGGGGCAGGTAGCAGAGCAGAGCCTGTCAGGGGCCGCAGCCGGGAGCGGATCGGGCACGGTCCCTCTCTGCCTGCCACCAGGCTCTGTCCTGCGGCCCGGCCACAGAGCCAGCCAGAGCCGCGGGGCCTTGGTCCCTCAGGAGCTTGGCCAGAAGCTGCAACACGAACCTGCCCTCCTGCACACACCGGTTCCCGACACCCCCGGCTGACTGCACGGGGCAAAGGCCACAGTGAGGACCGAGGGTCACACACTAGACGTCTCGGCCTAGCTCTGCCCAGGTTTACAGAGAAGGCGCCATCCCTGCACCCTTGTCCCCACTGGTGGGAGGACAGAAGGGTCGGGGCCATGGTGTGCAGGGCTACAGAGCTTGCCAGGCAACGAGGGGGACACACAAGGGCCGAGCGCTGACCCTACCCTCTGCAGGCAGGGGGACATGTGAGATCGAAGAGGAGGACGGAACTTCCCAGCTCTGCCCGGGCCCAGCACCTGCGCGGGAGCTGGCGGGCCCGTGGAGAAGCTCTGGTACTTGAAGGGGACGTGGGTGGTCTCCCGGGGGCGCAGGTAGAGCTGGGGGGCCAGGTCACCGCGCAGGTGGAACATGTCCTCCTCCAGCGGCGTGTGCAGGCCGGTGGTGTCTTTGAAGTACCTCCACTCCCGGCTGTCCAGGATGAGGCTGCGGCGGGGGGACACGGTGAGGAGCCGGCCAGCCCCAGAGGGGACAGGGCGGGGCGGGGCGTGGGGCGTGGGCGGGCCACTCACCTGAGCTCAGGGTTGTCGATCTCGATGGACACCGTGTGCTGCGTGTTGTGGGGGTTCTTCAGTGCGAACTCGAAGAACTCGGCCGTGCCCAGCGTGACGTGCAGCGTGTGCTGCGTGGTGATGGCCAGGCTCAGCACGCCGGCGATGCTCTCTGCCTTGGTGCGCTCCCGGTAGGCGTCGATGACCTGCAGGTCCCGGGAGTGCTGCATGCGTGCGCTCTGCTGGGCCTGCGGACACGAGGCCCCTCTCTGAGTGCCCCGGCAGGCCGCCCCTCCCCAGTGACAATTTCCTCTGGAAAATCGCCACTGCCTCTCCCTTGGCCGTGTGGCCGGGGGACGGGCCACCCAACTCCGGGGCCGCGGTTGGCACTGGAGTGGGGAGGGGGCCGCCCCTCCTCCCACCTGGATGTCCACACAGCATCCAGGCCCGCTGCCCATGCAGGTGGGAGTCTCCCCACGTGCCCCCAGGAGCCCTCTGAGCAGGCGCACCGCTGTGCTCATGCTGGGTGTGGACTCTCCCCGGGGCCTGGGGCAGCGGTGCTGGGTCACACGCAGACCAGCCTGACAGAAGGGCTCTCCGTCAACGCCTTGCCTCTCCTTCCTTCTAAAATCACCCAGCTACAAACGTTGTCCTCCCCATTCTTTTTTTTTTTTCTTTTTTTTCCTTCTAGCACTGGGGATGGAACCTAGGGACTCTGCACTGAGCTACATCCCCAGCCCTTTATGTTTTATTTTGAGACAAAAATCTCACCAAGTTGCTAAATTGTCAAGGCTGGGCTCGAGTTTGTGATCCTCCTGCCTCAGCCTCCCAGAGTGCTGGGGTTATAGGCGTGCGCCACTACATCCAGCTACCCGCCTCTCTTAGCTGCAAATGATGAAAGGCTGTATTTAGATTTCAGCCAAACAAGGGAACCCTGCTGGTCAGAGTGACTGCCCAACAACCCAAGACACCGGAGCTTGGTGCGGGGCCTCAGAATCCCCCGCAGCTTTCTTAAATCCAGGCTCCCAGGGCTCCGCCAAGCCAGCCACGAGCCGGCTTCTCTTAGAAGCTCTGGCCATCACCCTGTGGCTCAGATCCCGCTGTCTCCTCTCTTGGAACCAGTCTGGGTGCAGGGTGAGAGGGGCTCGAGGGCCTGGCCTCTCGGACCTGAGCATGCAGAGCCCTCACCAGCACTGCAGTCCTGCGGCCGACAGGCTCCACTCCCGACTCCTGCAGGCGCACAGCCCTCATCCTCTCCAGCTTGCGCCTGCGCACAGCGTCCACCTCGCGGGAGCCGCCCTGGGGTCCCTGGCCGACCGGCCCAGGGGTCAGCAGCATGGCAGCCAGCTCGCTGTCCACGTCGGCCAGCCTCTGCGCCTGCACCACGTTCCTCCCTGCTGAGGGGTGAGAGGAGGGGCTGGGGCGGGTGTGGCGTCCACGGCCTGCTATCGGACCAGCACCCAGGACCCCTTCTCTCAGGGCTCAGCCCTGCTCCTCGCTGCAGGTCCGCCGTATGCAGCTCCAAGACCCGCAGGGAGACGGCGACGGAGTCTGGGCTCCACGGCGCCCCCTCCAGCCGGCCCCACATCCAGCTCCTCTTCCCACACAGCTGGGGACGCAAGGACGGTGCTCCGTGACAATGCCTCACCCCAAGCTGACACTCAACCAGGCCTCGGGCCTGGGTCCCCCCCAACTCTGGAAACCATGGCCCATGCCCCCTGGGTGGCTCCACTTCCGGTCAGCAGGCAAGGTCTCCCTCTCTCTCTCCACCACAAGGACACAAGTGCCACCTCCAGGATCCTCGCCATGACTCCATTTTAAAGCCATTTAATTGCTTTCTTGGTGCCAGGAGCTGGGTTACAGGTCTTCAGTCCTGCCCAGAAAGAGCGCTTTGTGGCGCTGGGGAGCAGCCTGGAACCGGGTCTGAGACGCCTGCGCCTCAGCTTCATGCAGGGGCTGGGGGGTCAGGGTGAGCTCAAGCGTTCAGAAGGCATCACTCCCCAAACGCCTCTCCTGGCTGCAGTGATACGGGAAATGAGGCTCACGGTGACCGCGGCGTCCCCGTGCCTGCAGAGAGGCAGGGCGCCCGGCCCTTCTTCACAGTCTGCAGAGCCTTCGGGCCCTGATCCCGGGGGTCCTGCTCTCTCAAGAACACCTCGGACTGCTTCTCACCCAAGGGGCTCCAGGCCGCAACTCCCCTCAACAGGGCCAGCTCCCCCGGTTGCTGAGCCCCATCTTGCAGCCCCTGGGCCCCATTTGTCTGGGTGTGGGGACCCAGGTCCTGGTCCAAGCTCACCACCCTCCTCCACGTCACTTGCCAGGTCACCTTGGCTCCCTCCACCCCACTTTATTTAATATCAGGACGAGGCAGCCGGCCCAGAACAGACTCAGCTCGCCCGGGACACGAGGAGCCCACAGCACCGCCAAGCACGTGGGCCCCACTCCCCGAGTTCCCAGGACTGGAAGTGTGGGTCCCAGAGGTCCTGCCCTCTCCAGCAGGCTGAGGCTCAGATTCCAAGGCCGACAGGGTCCAGGCTCCACACCAGACAGCGCAGGACAGGCTGGGCGCACACCAGCAAGCTGACACTCTTAGGAAACCCTATTCAAAGAGCACATCCCACCTCTATCCAGATGACTTGAGCTCGTACTCTGGCTGGGGCGCTTTGGTTTTTTGGTTTTGTTTGTTTGTTTGCTTTTTGTTTTTTTTCCTGTACCAGGAATCAATCTCACGACCTTGCGCTTGCCAGGCAGGCACTGTGCCACTGAGCTAAATCCCCAGCCCCTGGGGCGCTTTGGTTTTAAGGGGCCTGAAATCTCCAGAGCTTCCTTGAGGTGGGAAGGATTTTCACCCAGCCAGGAACTCCCTCCTGGACCCAAGTCTTCCCTCGAGCTCTGGAACCCGTTAAGAAACCAACGGGGAGCTTCAAAGCCATGTCTGAAAATCAGTCCACGTCCACCCTCACCTCTCCCTCGCTCCCCCACCCCGCACACCGTTCACCCGCAGGAGGCCACGGCGCCCACTCACGTCTCAGGGACCCCCGCGTGAGGAGGCTGCCCCCGGGGAAGCGGCCGGCTCCGGCGTTGGAGATGACGCGAGATCTGGACGGCGGCAGCGAGCCCGGCTCTGTCGCTCTCCGCTCACACACGTGACCTGCATGGGAAGCACCCGGTGTGAGACCCTGAGGACAAAGGGGCGCAGGTGGACGGATCAGACCCCTCAGGAGGTCTGGCCCCTGGGTGCCATCGACACGACCACCCGTGAGCCTGCGCCTGCCTCGCTGCTCTGAACACACCGGCACGGAGAACGGCAGGCGGGAGTTTGTTTCTCCTGGACCCTTGCATCCCCGGCTCTGCACCCGCTGCCTGCAGCGGCTGAGCCCGCCTGGCTCTCTGTGGCTCCCACGAGCTCTTGGGTCTCTGACCTGTAATCTCAGCCTCTTCCAGCAGAGGGCGCTGTTCAAGGTCAGGCCTGGGCAGGGCACTCCTGAGAGTGAACTGGCGCCCAGCTGTTTACCTAACGCGGGCAGCAGGGCAGACTCTCCAGACAACACAGCCACAGCGCAAGACGCCACCACAGCCACAGCTGCCCACAGCTGGACGGGTGCAACGTCCAGGAATCTGCAAAGCGACAAGAACCTAGCGGGCGGTGCCCTGTGGGCTGCTGGCCACCTGTACCAGGCAGAGCATGTTCCAAGATGAACACCGGGCTGCACAGGGAACACGCGGGCTGTCGACTTCCCCAACCCCACCAGGCTGGCAGGGAGCACGCGCAGGCCTGCGTGTCCTGGCCTTTTCCTGGAGAGCAAGCGCCCGCCTCCGTCCCCGCCGCTCCTGGTCCCTCCTGCCTGCAGGGACACAGGCAGCTCTCTCCTCCCGCCTGCAGTGCTGCAGTTCTCAGGATAGCAGAGCGCTGGGCGTCCCCAGGCCGTGTGCCTGTGGAGGCGGGCCACGACCTCTACCCGGCCCAGCGGGCAGGCGACAACTCCAGCTGCCTGGCAGACCCGTGTCTCCCTGCAGCAGCTGAAGAGATGGGCTGGGCAGGGTGCCACCCACACCTGGGAGGTGGGGGAGGCCAGAGCTTTTCAGAGCTTTCTCTACCACCTTACTGGATGACCAGCGGCTCCCCGAATCAAGAGGCGACCCCAACCCCCTGCATCTCACAGAAATAAGCACAGCCTAGCGATTCAGCACTCAGAGACCCAGGAAGCCGCTTCCAGGTCAGACGGGCTGCACAGCTCACAGGTGGGTGACCGTCATCCCTGGAGCTCGGTCTCCAGGAGGGCAGAGGACCCCAGAGGGGAGATTGGTGGGATCAGGTGGTCCCCTCATGGGTGAGGGACACAGCCAGGCTTGGTAACATTGTACTCAGAGCCCCCAGGGGCTGGGAGACAGCACACGGTCTCACACCTGCACACCTTGGGGTGGATGGGTGGGGCAAGGCGCTGCGTCTCACTGGGACAACCCCACCTGAAGTCGTGCGGGTTTCTTCCTCGTGGGTGAGACAGGAGTCTGTTCTAGCTGTGTCTGGATGTCCCCCAAAGCCTCATGCAGTCACAGTGGGGCTTTTTCAGAGATGTCTGCATCTAGGGTGTGTGATGCTGGGATTGATTCACGGTACGACACTAGACTCAAGGGCACTGGGATTAAGGCTGTGAATGCTCCCTGCCCTAAGTAGTCTGGATAAGACGTAAGGGATAGAGCTGTGGTTGTCTCCGGTTGCTTTGCCTCCTTCTTCCCACCGTGAACTATTTCTCCTTTGCGATGCTCCCCTGCCATGCCCTGGAGCCAGCTGACTTTGGACTGAAACCTCTGCAAACTGTGAGCTAAATAAACCTTTCCCCTTTCAACTTTGGGTGTCAGGTATTTTGCCTCAGCAAAGAGAAAAGTAGCTAAGACAAGGTCAGACTGGGACCGACACCCTGTGACCTGCAGAAATGCCCCACGGTGCGAGGACGCAGAGCAATGGGCACACAGCACAGGCATCCAGCCCACCCTGGGGTCACCTGTCAGTCCCTCAACACTGCTGTTCCCACAAGTGTCCTGTGGCCACATACATGTGAGCTGTGCGGCCCCAGGACAGCTGCAGAAGGGAGGGACAGTGAGCGTCCAAGTGACCCATCAACCTAAGTCACACCACGATGGGGGCTGGGGGAGGCAGGAGCCAGTCAAGCAGCAGCGTGGCAGAGGCTGTAGAGACAGCTGGAGGACTGCAGGAGAAGCCATGGGCCAGAGGACGGACACCCCCTCCCCGTCCCGAGGCTCCAGGAGCCCCGGCAGAGCTGGTGGTGCCCACACACGCTGAAAACATAGCTGGGCGCAGCTCTGTCCACGTCACCCTGCGGGCATCACCCAGCAGCTGGCACATGTCACTGTGCGACACACATTCACGAGGTGGGTAGAGAAATAAAGGCCGACACTTTTTTTTTTCCCTCAAAAAAATGCAGCATTTCCAGAGGAAGGCCAAGCACAGCGGTGCGCAGCACCTGTGCACGGGAGCAGCGCTCCACACCATTGCACCGGGCCACAGCCCAGTGCGTGGAGTCCCAGGCACTGCCTGCCTCAGCCTCTGCTCCCCAAGGCCTTCTCTCTCTCTTGCAGGCAAAGTATGAAAATGACAATTTAAGATAACACAGAACAGGGCCCATCTTTCTTCCCAAGATAAGATTTTAGGACCTGGAGTCACTGCATGTTTGTAGGGTGGTGCATTAAATATAAAATCACCGCCACGGTCCGGGGAGCAGGACGCCCCGCACACAGCTCCCAAGGAATGTCCGCCCCTCACACGGGGCTCATTTATTTCTTCAGAACCTAATTGAGTTTTGCTGTTTCCATATTGTCCATTTTGGGCTGCCTCAGATTCTACATTTGTAAACAAGCAGGCAGAACCTCCAGCCACATTTAATGAGCTGTGCGCCCCTCCTCTGGCACCGCGCAGCCCCACCGCCCTGTCCCACCCAGTGGACGTGGCCTGCGGGGCTCCGGGATGAAAACCCGGCAGGGTACAGGGGAATGGAAAACTCCCTGGTGAAATGACAGAGAATCAGTCCCCTCTCCAGAAACCTCCCAGCCTCGGTCTCGTGTGTTTCCATGCTGTCTGCCCAGAAGCCCCCGAACATTTCAGTGTCCTCCAGGGAGGGCAGCGGGAGTCGCCCCCTGCAAGGTCCCACGTTGCCCTTCCCCCTGGGTGCGTGCAGTGGCACCTGGCCTCAGGCCTCGACGCCTCTGTCCTACGTGGGTTCTGGAAAGTTCACCCCGCCCCGTGCCGGGCCACAGCCCAGACACCACGCGACCCAAGGTCCGGTGCTCGCAGGAAACTGCTTCTCCACTCGGGGCTGAGCTGAGAGAACCCTACTGGCCTCCCGCGAGTATGTCACAACCCCGGCACCACCGCCCTCGCACTCCAGCTGGCAGACCGGCGGCCGCCCCACTCACCCACGTTGGCCAAGGTCAGGTGCAGCCGGCCCTTCACCACCGTGTGGACCCCGACGGGCTTGACGCTGCCGGACGCAGCCAGGTCTCCACTCACCACCACCGTGTCCTGCTCGTACTCGGTGGCCACAACCTCCAGCTCGTGGAGGACCTGCACGGCCGGCCGGCCTTGGCGGAGCAGCTGCTGTGGGGGAGAAAGTGCTCGTGTGACCGTGGCCCACATCCAGGTGGCCAGCTCCCAACCCACCAAGATGGGCCGAGGAGGCGGGGAGGGGTGTGTATGCCTGACAGCAAGGGACCCCAGGGCCCTGACCAGGTACCACAGGGGACCCGAGGCCGAGGCAACTTGAAACCCACAAGGCTTTAACAGCGAGGTCTTTTTCACAAACTCTAGTGAAGAGCAACTCCTCTCTTCACCGCACAGAGCCGGTCCTCGGAAGAGGAGCCAGGAAGGCGCTCAGGACAGTAGAGGCCCTGCGCCGCCCGTCTCCAGCACAGAAACCTGAGCCGGGCTGCGGAACACAGCTGAGCCGTGGCAGAGGCTGCAAACCAGCCCAGGTGCACCGAGCAGAGCGGGGGAGCCCTGAGGGTAAGGGCAGGGCTCCCAGGATGCCGCCCTCGTCCTCACGAGGTACAGGCCCTGCCGCTGCCCCAACAACGTGAGAGGGGGGGCATCACTGAACCTTAGGCCGCTGGAGCGGGGAGAGGGGAGAGAAAACACCAGGCCCCCTCAGGGCCAAGAAAACAAACCCCTCCAAGGGCGGGGCGCTCAGTGCGGAGCTCGCTCAGCAGCACAGCCCATGAGCAGGTTCCCCAGAGGACTGCTGTAACCCGTTCACATCTGTGTCCAACAGCCCCATGTTGGTTTACAGGACTCTTCGCGTGGGAGGAGCTCACACGGCCCTGTCCCAGGAGCGGCGGCACAGGAGGGCAAGGGCTGAGGGGACGGGGCCGTCACCCCCGGGCACCACCTTCTGCCAGGTTCCTCAGCTCCGGACAGCATCAGGACCACCTGGACGCACAGCGGGGACAACACCAGGCCCTGCCTGGGATGAGCTGAGCACAAGGCAGCCGGGACCAGTCAGGAAGGGAGGAGGGAGGGAGGCACGCCGGTGCACACGGGTGGGCAGGGCGCACAGATGCGGCATCTCCCTGCTCGGCAGCTGCCAGGCTGGGGGCAGGGACAGAGCAAGGCCAAGTCAGGGAGGCTGGAGGGACCGACACTGCCGGCCAGAGAGGCCAAGGGTGGCTGGTCATAGCGGGACACGGCACCAAGCCCTCCCATCAGGCGGGGTGGGGAGGCCACTACCTTCATGGAGACGCCAGCTGACCCAACGAGCAGCAAGGAATCCCCGTCCCAGACGTCGATCTGCAGCGTCTGCGCAGCCAGGTAGCGGAGGAACCAGCGCTGCTCGCCCGGCTTCAGGAACCCAGGGCCCACGGCGTACCTCAGCTGCAGGCCAGGGGACCCTGCGGAGGAGCCCAGTCGGGGCCAGGAGTAATTGGAGTCATTTATCATATTTACACTCGGAAACAATTTCTGCTCTGGTCATGATTACTAATTTCTGCTTCTGCCATGGCGACAGTTAATAAACACATTCATCAAAAACTCCATAGACACCCAAATTAACAAAGCCAGGAGTGTGTCTGGAAGACCACGCCACCTCCCCATACACACAGTGAACCCCGCAGGAGGATTCTGGGTTTTGTTTTTTTTTTTTGGTTTTGGTTTTTTTCTGGTTCCGGGAATTGAACTCATGACCTTGAGCTTGCCAGGCAGGCGCTGTGCCGCTGAGCTGAATCCCCAGCCCATGGATTCTGGTTTTAACGGATGCCTGGAATACAGCTGGTGATAGACAGGAACGCTGCCCTGATAAGATGCTGGGGAGTTCACGATTCCAGGACACAGAAATTAAGAGAAATGGAGTCTATATCTGCTGTCCAAATTGACGTGCTCACACGCGCGCATGCACACACATGCACGCACGCACACACAAGTGTGCATGCACAGCTCACACAGATGGAGCTCTGAACCTGCCACACAGGAACCCTGCCCTAACTCAGTGAGGCGGATGGGGATGGACGGACAGAGGGACAGACAGACAGCATCAGTCCTTGGGCTCCTGGCTCCCTTCCCAGCTGCTGCACCCACCTACGAGGCTGACTAAAGGCTGCGGCCCCTCCGCGGCCCTGCCTCCTCCGTCTGGAAGCGCACGTCCTTCATTCTAAGTTGACAGAAATGCCCCGGAAATCATCCCTCGGTGAAGTGCAGGGAACAGCACTGCCGGGAAACACATCCAAAACAGCACTTTCCCTTTGCTGTCAACAACCGGGCCGTATGCACAGAGGCTGAGCGCCCACCGCAGGGCGCAGGGCAGGCTACTCAGCCACGCCGGCCAGGAGGGCAGAGCTTGGCCACAGGTCCCTCCACACCTGCGCGGCCCCCTGGGTGGACACAGACCGATGCCCGCCTGCTCTCCAGCCCAAGTGACAGTGCCTGTAGTAGGGAAGGGAGACAGGGCCTCCTGGTGGACACAGGGCCACAGCCTGGGAGCCTGGGCCCCAGCCTTGGGGTCGGAGGACACCGCGGCCCTGGGGAAAGCGTGAGGACCGGAGCTGGGGCTCAGCAGCAGCTTAAAGGGGCATCTCATGGGGCAGAGAGGCAGGAAGGAAGAAGGACGCCCCAGGAGGGGCTGGCGGTGAAAGGCATGCAGTGGGCAGGTCCCCAGGACAGCAGCTCAGCGGGGCCCCAGCCCAGCCCCACAGCCAGCTCTGCCTTCCCTGGGGCCTGTAGTCCAGGCACATCACATCCGGGGAGAGCCCTGCACTGGCTTCCCCAGGGCACAGGTGGCCCTGGCACAGGCCAGGCAAGACACAGGCTGGCAGCCTGGGTCACAGGGAAGGAGCAGCACCGCCTTCCCCCACCAGGGCAGACCCAGTGGTGGACGCCGCCCTCCCCAGTGACATCCGGTGGTGCTCTCCGCCCTGCCTCAGCCTCTCCCATCCAGCACGGCCCGGCTGACCCTCTGTCTTCACCACCCAGCTCCTCCCAGGACCCCACTGGCTGGCTGCCTGCTCCACCCCCTCTGAGCCGTTCCACACCCCTGCAGCTCAGTCCGCACCCCGGGCCCTGCATGGAGAGCTGGGAGACCAGCACGCACAAGGGCCTCTGTGACCGCAGGCCACGCTCAGCACTGCCGAGGGCTGGCAGCAAGGACTGCCCGATGTGGCAGTCCCAGCCCCCAGCAGAGACCTCCACTCTTCCCACTGCGGCCGTAGACAGCCAACTCCCTGTCCAGAGGCGAACGGCTCCTCAGAGGCCGTGCCCGAGACCAGGCTTCCTGTGGTCCACCAAGAATGCTGCCCAAGCAGCTGTCCTAAGAGGCCCCTGTGATCCCCACTCTCTCTCAAGAGAGGACAGTACCAAGCACCCCCAGCTCTAAGAATGGCTCTCCCTCCTCCCCACATTCGCCACCCTTGCCAACTCCTCCACCCAGCCACTCGCCCAGGCCCGTGTGTGCACCTACAGCTAACCGCCACCTTCCCTTCCCCTCTCTCAAACGCCTCCTGCCCTGTGCAGCACCCACAGCCCACTGGATGGCAGACACTTTCCGACACTAACATCTAGCCGGGGGCAGTGCTGCACGCCAGGAAGATCTCAAACTCAGGCCCAAGCTGGGCAACTCAGTAACTCAGCAAGACCCTGTCTAAAAATAAAAAAATATACAGGGGCTTGGGACGTAGCTCAGTGCAAAGGCCTTGGGTTCAATCCTGTTTCAGGAACAAAAAAACTGACATTTTTTAAGTTGTGGAACAGCGGTGAAGACCTACGTACCAAGCAAACCACACACCCAGAGGTGCAGGGGAATGCAGCAGTGCGGGGAGCAGCCACTCTCCAGCCAAGGGCAGATCCCACACAGGAAGTGCATGAGTAAGGACACAGAAGACTGCACCCCAATAACGCAAAATACACCTCTGCAAGTACATCCGCAACATTAATAAAAACCAGCGGCAGGTTAGGTCACAAAGAAGACCTAAATGCACTCTATAAAGCAGAGATGATACAAACGACATCCTCTGATCACGTTGCCGTGAACTAGGAATCAGTAACAAAATTCTGAAAGCAACTTCACAACTTACACATAAGTGACTACGTCAGAGGGCAAATGCAATCAGGATTTCCCGCAAGTGAGCATGATGAAAATACTACTTCAGGATCAACGAAACACCCAGCGGTCATCGGGGATTCAGCGCCCTGACCCCTGGGCCCCAAGAACAGAAGAGTCAGATAAATGAACTGCACAATCTGTGAAAACCAGGCAAATAACAATAAACAATACTGAAAGAGAGGAGAAAGAAGGAAACAGGAAAGACAGACAAAGCTTTTAATTAATTAGAAAACAACAGTAAAGCCCAAGGGAGGTAAACCCTGAACCTCCTCAGAAAGGCTCGAGACAGAAATGAGCACGTGGAAAGGCGCCTCCCTCCTGGAGAGCGCACCTCCCGCACAATCCCACTGCAGATGAAGCCGGCCAGCGGTGACAAGGCTGGCGTGATGGAGCCGGTCAGCTACGCGGCAGGGGACGGGCACGCCAGCACATTTTGATGAAAAACAAAATGAGCAAGGACACCCACGAAAGTCCTGCAAGAAAGAGTCACACGGCCACGGCTGGCTCCCCAGACATGGAAACACCCAGGACCCCCCTGCCTGGGCAGTGTGGACAGGGAGGCTCGGGCCAATGCCGACCTCAGCCAATGACGGCCCCCAGGCTAAACATGCATTTTGCATTTTTTAAAAGTTACTTTTTTAAAAAGGCAGGAAATGTGACCATATGTGGCCCAGAAAGCCTAAAATCTTTACTATCCATCCTGAACAGTAAGAGTTTGCCAGCCTCTGGTCTAATCCAGAAAAAAGCTGAGGACTCAGAAAGGTTGTTGTATGGTAAGGTGGCTCCCAAGTCACTGGGGACACAACGGACTTTTTAATAAACGGCCCTGGGCCAGCTAGACAGATATCTGAAACAAGGTAACAACGGCTCCACACCTCCCATCCACAGCAGGATAAACTGCAAAGAGATCAAAAATCTCAAGAAAAGTGAAACCCACAGGTCCTAGAAGGAAACATGTCTGAACCTTCCCATGAGGGAGGACAGAAGAAAGTCCTTCTCCTAAGACTGAAAAACCTACTAGCGATAGACTACATGAAAATAAAACGTTTACAAAGCAAAGCCCACCACAAGCAAAGTACAAAGACAAAAGTCAAAGGAGGGAAACCTGTGTGCAATTTATATCACACACAAAAGTTAACCTCCCTAGTAAGTAAAGAGCTCCTAAAAACAGAGGACAAGCCTGAGGGGAAAGCGGGAAGGAATGCACAGAGGTTAGCAGGCAAAGGACGACCAACAAAGAGATGCTCAGCTTCACTCCCTGAAACCAACTCCACAACGGGCAGCTATGAAATCCCGCACCTCAACAGCCATCATAGGGTGAGGCCATGAGAAAGAGATGGAGTGACAGACAAAGGGGCAGGGCCTGGCCCAGCAGAGGGGCGCAGCCACGTCGGCCAGACCTTGGCCATGGTCTAGAGATGGGTGGCCTCGTGGGCTGGGCATGGGGATCCTGGTGTGCAGCATGGTGCAACAGAACCTTTCGCTGCGTGGCCAGAGGCCATGGAGATACCAGCTTGCCCTCAAAAAGGATTAATTCTGGTGTTGTGGGGTGAGTGAGCTCTCAGAGTAAGCTGTTATAGAAAGAGCCAGCCTGGCCCTGAATCCCTCTGGCTTCCTGCCTCACCATGGGATGTCTCCCTCCCACTTGTAGTGCTCCTGCCACACCGCATCCGCCGTGATGGACGCAGCCAGAGGCTGAGCTGACAGGGCCACCCGAACTCCAACTTTCAGCCTCCAGCATGGCAAGCAGAATGAAGCTCTTCGTTATATGCTACTCAGCCTCAGGGACAAGCTCACGTTTTTATTAAAACAGCAGAAGACACATTAAGACAATCACTGAAGCCTCTGAACCTGTAATCCCACTTCTAGAGTCAGATATACAGGGTGACTAACTACTGCAGCATGAGACAGCAAATACTGGAAATGACCCAACCACCATCAGGAAGAGATGGGCTGAATAAATGACAGAACATCTCCTTACAGGAGTACACACAGCTACAAAGAAGACGTGGGTGATTTTCCCGTGGAGTGAAGTGGAACAGACACAATGTTAACTGGAAAAAGACGTAAAAGAGTGTACTTGCTAAGCTACCCACTGAAGGATACAAAGGGAAATACATACATAAATAAATTTCACTTTTTTAACAACAAAAACACTAAAAGGATAAACCACACTATCATGGGAGCCACGCTGAGCCCCGAACAGCTCTGCAGGAGCAACGCTGAGCCCCAGGGAGCTTCAGGAGCCTCTGTGAGACACAACCTGCCACCCACACCATCACAGGAGCAACGCTGAGCCCC